TGTTCGAAACGTTTTCGCAGCTAGAGCTGCGCCTGGACGTTGGAAAGCATACAGTCAGCAGGTTAAGCCAGTATGATGCAATCAAAAGGGACTCAGCCCTTAAGTTCTCGTCGATAGATACCACCGGTATTTAGTGTTCGAGCTGTTGGTTAGATTCCAGTACACCACTCACTTCTCCCGGGGATACTTCGCCCCACTCGTCTCTACGAACAGGATGGGCCGTAAACAAACCAAGAGGCAGCGTTAGATTTTCAGAGAAGGTAAAAGAATACCTAACGGCACGGTTTACACTTGGAGAAAGAACTGGGCGAAAGGCAGACCCGCCCAAGTTGCAGTGGACATGCGAAATGCGAAAATGAATCAAATGCACGTTTGTTCACTTGAGAGCAGTGGCTGAGAAAGAGCCAAGCTCAGAGCTTTTTCTCCCGGCTAGCAGCAATGCGACGAAAAGATCAGGGTGTGATCGGGATATCGCTGGATGAGGAGGAAGATGTCCAATGCGTCCAGGAAAATTCCGAGAGACAAGATTTGGTAGACAAAGTTAACAAAGAGATCAAAGTCTCACATCCAATCTGCTACGACACGTATGACCTCTGTGAACGTTACCACAGTGACACACTTCAGAAATTCAATGTGGTTTTGTTGAGAGCCATCTGTAGTCATTTTGAGATCCCTGTAAAATTGAGAGACAGGTCCTCATATACAAACTGCCGGACGTGATTAGTGATTGTCAATGTGTTACTCAGTAGACGTATGTAAATGAAAAAAGGAGATGGATGAAACTTGAACAAAAGATCAAAGAAAAAGCAAGGTGAAGAGTTGAAATCTACAAGAAAGTTGACTTCGATGGGCTAAAGAATGCGAAGAAAAAAAAGAAAAAGAAATGTCAACAAAGTCTCAATTGTATTAGGCATGAAATTAAAGGTGTAGAAAATATTCATCTTGGGATCCGGAATGTACATGTGGCTGCATGTGAAAAGACTGTTTGAAAGTGTTAAGCTCGTTTCATTCCAGGAGGCTGGCTACTTGTAGCAAACTTTGTTTCGAACTCTACTTCACCCCCACACTGGACCGCTGAGTCATCATACCGTGGAATCAGAAACTTTACCAACAACAAAATGGGTATCACGGTGAGTGAACTGAAAGAACTCAGGTCAAACTTGTCTTTCACTGGGCTGAGATTCCACTGCAGTAAGAAACAAGGTCGTACGTTCCACGTGACCACGGTCATTAACAGTACTCCAGTAGTCTAGTACTCCAGCGGACAGAAGGATGTGCTTCCCGATTCATGTGGGTCTTTTCAAAGAACGGAAGGCGACAACAAGTCGGTCATGGAGTGCAAGAGGTGGAGTTTTGAGGAAAGAGAGGCTGTACAAATATGCTGCATATGTTCCATCCAAGTATCATTGGCATCTTTTAGAAGGATACTGGTACTGCGACGACTGGTACCATGACTTCGTTTCGCCAGGAGATTTTTGGAAAATCTATGTGCGCTAAGTAAAACAAAAGATCAGGACAACTTTTAGTCGAGTGTCGACCCAGTGTGGAATTACAATACTTCACTTTGTGAAATTTCTTTTAAAAAACGTATTATTTTGTCCCCAGGTGCCATAAATTAGCTCGATTATTTGCGATTTTTTCGTCTTGAGGCAGAATCAGATCCAGTACACTGGTTCTGATTGGTTGTTTTGATAAACTTCGTTTTGAAGTAAAGACACTCGATTCAAAATGGTTCCAACACAAACAACAGTTTTTAGAAAGTAATTTCTTTGAATAGCACTGCTGAAGCTGTGATCCAGTACTTTAGCGGCCAGAAGGATGTGCTTCCCGATTGATGTGGGTCTTTTCAAAGAATGAAAGGCGACAACTCTGAGTTGATCATGGGGTGTGCGAAGTGAAGATCTGTGGGTCATTGGGGAAATCACAGACTGGAAGACGGATTATGGTATTTGCATTTGCATTTGTTCCCAGAAATTGAAATATTAGAGAAATTTTCAGGTTCCCAGAAGTTGAAATATTAGAGAAATTTTCAGTTTAGTGTTGACGCAATGTGGAATTGCATGCTTTTTCTTTTTGAAAGGTCAGAAAAAAGTCGCACCATATTCTCAATCATCACTAAGACCTGAAATATTTATCTTGGTCACTTGCACTTGTGATTTACCGCCTTGAGGTCATTTTTATGCATTTATTATGAGTTCTTATTGGCTCCTCGGGATATTTATCTTGGTTCTGATTGGCCGTTTTGATAAACTTGGTTTTGGTTTATGACACTCAATTCAGAATCATTCATTCCAAAAACAGCCTTAGTTCATTTATTAAACCAGTAGGTGGTTTCGATGAATATCCTTAACTTCTAGGGATAAGCAAGCGAGACCAACCGTTCTCTCTCAACACCAAAAAAGTTAAACAAGCAAGAAACAAAGTTAAACTGCTAAAAGAGGTGGAAGGTGGTGATGGAAAAGGGATGACTTATTTTAGTCGAATTCTATTGATCAAGCAAACCTCCTCCGCTTTATTGTGAATTCGTGACCTGATCAATGGCGACAACGGTAAGTTTTTTCAGAAAGCTCTTTTAGCTTCAATGACAGAGTACGCAGTCAGGCGCCATTTCGATTTGAAGTGTTGTGTGCGACCGTTGAGCACGAAATTCTCTTATTTAGAATTTAAAAACAATTTTGAGTTGTCATATTAGTTGAAAAAATCCATCTGTTTAAAATGGATAAAGGACAAATCATTATCAAATGTACAAAAAAAATACAAAGGAACAAAAATCCGTGTGAAGAGGAAGGTGGTTATTTCTTTGTCAGCTTAACATTATTGACTGTTACAGACAAAAAGGAAACCAATTTTTTCGTTGACTTTGTGGTGGATTCGTTTACTGTTAAATGTTGTACGGATTTAAAGTGTTTTGCATGATGTTTCTTCTTATTTCTCTTAATATTTCCATGCAGACTAAGTCGTTCTGGATGTTTTCTTGTTGTCTCATTTCGTGCTTTTAAGTATTAGCAATCGTTTTATGGTGAGCGAAATGAAGAATTTATGGTGTACCTGCCTAATGACCATCTTGTCGCGGAAGCTACTGAATTACGCGAGGGAAAGATGAACTCAAATCAATTGCATGATTTGAAAAACAGCGGTTTCTGTTAATTTGAAGAACTTTCGACTCTATTGATATACTGGCCAAAACAATTAGAATTTGGAAAAAAACAGTATTGTCTCTGCTAATCATATTTCAGCCCATCTATGCTGTATTCCTTGTATAAATATGGATTAAATTGTGTCGTTCAAAAGATAATTTGTGCCCCTGTTCGCCGAGTTTTCGAGACGTTAACCACCAAGAGATCGCTAGTGTAGAATGGAAAGATCAGGGGGTGTAGTTCAAGGCTGGCATCGTTAAATGGTTGGTCCGTTAGAGACTATTATTTGGGCCCTTACGATGTATTTATTTCATGTGGAATAAAAGCATAAAAGACTCCTCTAAAGATCTCTCTTGTTTTAAAGAAACTATCATAGCTACAGTCGATAGATAAGCTGTAAATGATCAATGAACGAAACTACCCCTCCGGCGACTTTGTTAAGTTCATTGTAAGATCCTACCAGCGGAGATGAAAACCAAACTCACCGACGGTTCGTATAGAAGCAACACCAAACAGACTATGCCAAACGATCGAACTTGAAAATTTTCAGAACTAAATTACAATACATTTGGGATGATTATTTTATCATTATTATTATTAAAGTTGCATGGAGCATTAAGTCACCGTTAGAGCGATTATGTGAAAGCGTGGTACCTGGTCGAGAAGCTTTTCATTGTTAGCCGTTCAGGGATCATGACGTGATATCATTTGTTATATTGTAATCAATAACATGACTCAAAATAAAACCTATTCATAAAAGTAATTTAGCCGACTCCGTATCAATATGAGGGGATGTGAAAAAAGTTATCAATTATAGACAAGTTTTCTATCGCAGACGACGAGCGACCACAAGCTAAGTAGTTCACCGTGAAAATTGTCAAATACTCGCAAACGATTCCCATAACAGAAACGCCATGCACGCTTCGCGGCTGACACAGTTTGTCTTTGTGACTCTTATTGTATTCTTGACCGTTTTGTTCGTTGCGGTGAATAGAGACCTTTTGGAAACTAAACTCAATAAAAATAATAAATCAGCTGTCAATAACGAATAAACTAAACTTTCCCATGGAACAACCTCCCTCCATTGTGAGGATTTGGCCAGAAACAAAGTAAAATTATCACAAAAGATAATTTGTGCCTCCGCATTACCGAGTTTTTGAGGCAGTAACAACCAGGAGATCGCTAGTGTAGGATGGAAAGACCAGGGAGTGTACGTCAAGTCTGGCATCTTTAAATGGTTTGGAGACTATTATTTGGGCCCTTACGATGTATTTATTTGATACGAAATGAAAGTTTAAAGGGCCTCTCTTAAGATCCCTCCTGTTTTTAAGAAACTATCTTAACTACAGTCAATAGGTCAGCTGTAACTAATGAATGAACTAAACTTCCCCTCTGGCGACTTTTCATTGTTAGCCGTTCATTCTGAGAACCTACTGGCGCAGGTGAAAACCCAACTCACCCACGGTTTGTCTAGAAGCAACACGCTAATGTAAAAAGCAACACCAAACAGATTATGTCAAACGATCGAACTTGAAAAATTTCAGAACTTCATTACAATGCATTTGGGATAAATATTTTATCATTGCATTAAGTTGTATAGAGCATTAAGTCACCGTTAGAGCGATTATGTGAGAGCCTGCTACCTGATCGGGTAGTTTTTCATTGTCAAGAATATGACTCAAAATAAAACCTGTTCATAATGGTAATTTAGGCCTCACTTAAGACTTATTAATAAGCGGGTTGATGAAAACAGCTATCAATATTAAACAAGTTTTGTTTCGCAGACAACGAGCGACCACGACCCAAGTTGTTCACGGTGACAATTGCCGAATACTCACGAACGATTCATTTAAAAGAAACACCATGCACGCTCCGTGGCTGACACAGTTTGTCTTTGTGACTCTTAATGTATTCTTGACCGTTTTGTTCGTTGCGGTGAATAGAGACTTAACTCATTAAAGTTGTTCAGTCAGCTGTCAATAATGAATAAACTAAACTTCCCCCCAGCAGCAACCTTGTTATATTTATTGTGAGGATTTGGGCAGAAACAAACCAAAATTATCATAAAGATAATTTGTGCCTCTGCATTATCGAGTTTTTGAGGCATTAACAACCAGGAGATCGCCAGTGTAGAATGGAAAGACCAGGGAGTGTACGTCAAGTCTGGCATCTTTAAATGGTTGGCCCGTTGGAGATTTGGGCCCTTACGATGTATTTATTTCATGCGAAATAAAAGCTTAAAGGACCCCTCTTAAGATCCCTCTTGTTTTTGAGAAACTATCTAAACTACAGTCAATAGATCGGCTGTAAATAATGAATGAACTAAACTTCCCCTCTGGCGACTTTGTTAAGCTCATTGTGAGATCCTACCGGCGGAGATGAAAACCCAACTCACCCACGGTTTGTCTAGAAGCAACACACTAATGTTTTTCTCGTATGCTAATTTCTAACGTTCACAAAAGCATAATTGTTATGAACTCTCTTGACACACCCTTTTCCAAGAATGTTTTTGAAGCCGTTCAAAAAACTCGCAGCACGTGTTTTATCGGGTCAAAAACCACTCGGCTACGCCTCGTGGTTTTAAACCCGATAAAACACTCCTGCTCGTTTTTTAAACATTACATTGAATATGACTCAAGAATACAAGAATATGACTCAAAATAAAACCTGTTCATAATGGTAATTTAGGCCTCACTTAAGACGTATTAATAAGCGGGTTGATGAAAACAGCTATCAATATTAAACAAGTTTTGTTTCGCAGACACCATGCACGCTTCGCAGCTGACACAGTTTGTCTTTGTGACTCTTAATGTGTTCTTGACCGTTTTGTTCGTTGCGGTAAACAGAGACTTTTTTGGAAACTAAACTTGAGTTGATAAATCAGCTGTCAATAATAAATGAACTAAACTTTCCCCCCCCGCGGCAACCTTTTTATATCCATTGTGAGGATCTGGGCAAAAACAAATGAATTCGTCAACGATTTGCAACGACGAAACACCAACTAGATTCTATTTCTACTGAATCGAATGAGCTTGAAAACTCTCACGAATTCGTTAAAATGTGTTCTTGACAACCGTTACATAATATAACACTACGAAACATCGTCCAAAAAAGTTAGATTCAATAATTTTTACATGATTTTCTTCGTTTTAGCCAAGCCTATGTACATACCAACGTACGAAAAATGCCAAAAAAATTAAAATAATAAGTGATTGTATGAATTAGAAGAAATTAAACTGCTTTGAGTTGCCTTCTTTGGCTTTTGTAGTTCTTCTTATTTTTGTCTGACAGATTCTTTTTTTTTTTAATCCTTGTGGGGTATGATGAAAACAGCGGTTCAATTTAGTCCTGAAAGATTCTGTCATATTTTGTCGAAGGCGGAGAAGAGGTGACTACTGAATCATTTATGATCCAAAAATTGTCTCCCTGCTTATTTGCCGCTGAGTGTTTTGACCAACTGATATCAACAAATAGCCTCGACTTGGTATTCAATGTTATTCTAAGGTAGACTAGCATTTTGGCAGCAGCTGCGTAGAGCAAACGACCAGAGGCTCGTTGAATACCAAAAAAATACTATGCTTCCTCGGAGGTTGAAGCAATTGGTCTTTGTATCTTTTCACATTTTTCTGGTAGTGTTGTTCGTTGTGGCGAACAATGACTTTTGTGCAAGCGTTTTTGAAACTCAAGTTGGTAAGTAATAACTCGATCAGAACCTGCAGCTTCATTTTTTTATAGTTGATGTTTCTACATCGCCAATTTCCTATTGCAAATTTTTCAGATTTCACTTTATTTGATCACGTCATCAACAAAACTGATGTTGCCGATGAGTTTGAATGTCAGCTAAAATGTATGGGAAACAACAGTTGCAAGTCGTTTAATGTTCACCGCAATGGCAATAATGCGAAGAAGCTTTGCGAGCTCAACAACAAAACCCGGCAGATGAAGCCAGGTGATTTTAAACGGAAGAAAGGATCTACATACTATGGTTCAGTTCAGGTCAGTTGAAAATATGTTTCTGGTGTACACATATTCCTTTTTATATTCGAGAGCGGCACAAGGCGAAGATAAAGAAACAAAAAATCTCTTTGGTAATTCGTTTTTATGCTAGAAATTTGGGGCACCGTTACCCTTTTTTACCATAATTATCATCATAAACATAAAGGAACTCAAACAATCACTTCAAAAAAAAAAGGCTCTATAGACAACCTCGCCCTAAAAACCGACGAAAAACAACACCAAGAAACATCTGTATGTAATATGTTTTGATAAAACCAACGCAGGGCACTTGTGAGGATGTTTCTCGTCAGCGAAGCGGAAAAACGAAGGGCGGCCAGTGTCATCCGAACTCCAAAGGAAAATTGTGCCAAACACGTAAGTGATAAATATCCTTCAACCTGAGAGTGACTATTTGATTGGCTCTTACCTTTGATCCATTGGAGGACAGACGCATAAATGGCGTCATCATTCACAAGTTTTGCTTCTTTATTATATTAAGCAAATTGATTTCACGTTGCCGTGCGTTTAGTTGTTAATTGCATTCTCCTCTACGAGTTAAGGAAATAAACGAAATGATCACCTACGAGACAAGCCGTTGATCATTAAACAAAGACTCCCTGTCATTACCGCAGGCAATGTGTAACGAAAAGCGTAGATAATATGAGTATTGATGTAAAGGGTTAAAGCGCATTTATAGATTGTGTTGATGATAATAAGAACTGCGTTTTAGAAACTAAATTTGATCTCTTTCTTTTAAAATTATTAAGTGAGACTTGGCCATTTTGCCGCAAATCCTGGAAAATCTTGCAAGCATATTCTTGAATTAAATGACTCTAAAGGAGATGGGGAATACTGGATCGACCCTGAAGGCAAAGGAAACCCTTTGAAGGTCTACTGTGATATGAAAACTGACGGAGGTAGGTGAATGGTACCAAGAGACGATACCACATAAAAATATGCATCGCAATCTGTCATGTCCAAATCAATAAAACAAATCGAGATATAAAAACCTTTTTACATCTAACAAATTCACAAGATTTCGCATTTCTACCTAGAACACTTTAGAATTGATGTGAGATGTACGGTCTTTATTTAATATTGCTAGGAGGGTGGCTCCTTACATCAATGCTTGTGGTAGATAGCTCGACCAGTCCTCCCGCTTGGTGGACCGCTGAGCCATCATACCGCGGGATCAGCAATTTCACCAATCACAAAATGGGTATCACAGTTAGCGCCATGAAAGAACTCAGAGGACACTTGTCTTTCACTCAGATGAGATTCCACTGCAGTAAACAACAGGGACGTACGTTCCACGTAACCACCGCCGCTAACAGCTCTGGTGAAGCTGTAGTCCAGTATTTTAGCAATCAGACGAACACCCTGCCAGACTCGTGTCTCTCTTTTGTTAGAATGAAAGATGACAACTCTTATCTCTCCAGGGATTGTGCCAGATGGGGAAACGACGGATCTTCGAGTTTCGTGGGGAAGTGGGGGCATAAAAGCAGACAAGGCGAAACACGTTTATACGATCTCATTGCATTTGTTGCTACTCTCTATCACTGGAAGACAACCGGAAGAAATCGACTGTGCGACGACAGGAGCATGCATGGCTTTATAAGTTTGTCAAAGGGAGATTTTTGGAAGATTTTTGTTCGTTAAACAGTTAGCGAGTGGCACAACTGACAGGATAAACACATACTTAACTACCGACTTATACTTAGTGGCCTTAAAAAAGTGAAATGTTTTCACGAGGGTTTAACGAAACGTTTGAATATTATAGGATAGCGCGAGTGAATTCATAGACCGATTTAGAGTTGTCAACAGATTATCATTTCTTACGAGGTTGATAAATAAACAATTCAAAACTTAAAAAATGGCGCTGCTAGTATAGGGGGGGATCGTGCCTTATCAGTCATACTAAACTTTCACCCTTGAAATTATGCCGGGATATTATGAAAGCCAGGAGATATAATTAACCAACTCAAAACAGAATTAGGTGCTCCAGGGCGGCGTAAGGATGGATCTTTTTGATGACATGCTGATTTAAATGCGGGAGAATCAATGGATAGCATTCGTGTTTGACACCATCTTTCTCGCGTGTATCTCGCGTGACACTGACCGCTCTTAGTTTTACCGTTTCGCTCACTGGAAACATCGGCACAAGTGGCCCGGTTTCGGTTTAGTAAAACAAGTTGTAAATGAATCTTTTTGGATTGTGTAATGGTAGAAGTTTCTTTGAATGACATTTTCAATTAAGCATTCGGTTACAGAGGTATTTTCAGAGGGGTCTGCTGTTAAATCAGGCTTGTAAGAAAAGCGCTTCACTACGAAATCGTAAGAACCTTTTTAGGAGTGGTGTAGATTTTTCAGAGTTAAAACTGAATTTAAACGTAATGTGTTTCCCGGATTTTAAGTGCAAAAATTTTGCTTGAAATTTTGCTTAAAGTTGAGCGTCAAATGAAATGCGCATAATTACACAGTCTTTTATTGTCTGCGTAGGTACTTGATGTTTGTCCCGCCTGGCCGTCTCTGCAATATTTTTTTGCTCACTTGCAAAGCATTCAACAAGCTTCAGGTCGTTTGCTTTAAGGCCCATTTCCAACCTTGATGCAACGCGCGCCGCGACCCAATTTCCTGTAACACGAAATTCCCAGATCGCTGAAAACCTTCTAAAATCGTCTTTCTCAAGAGCCATCCTGGACCTATAGTCAACTGTGTTGCGGTAAATACATTCGCCGTTCGTCATGTTACAGTTTCCTTGCAGTATTTTGAATTTTGTCCAGAAAAATCCGAAGAATTTTTTTTTTTGTGTCAAGCTTGGATCTCTTCGTGCGTACTCTGTGAACAGAGTCGGCGAAAAGGACAACGTTAAAATTTTTTCACTTTCCAGAAGCACTCGAGAATTCTAAATGAAGATAAAATATTTCCAATAGAAATTGGTATATTTAAAAGAGAAATATGGAGTCATTTGAAGACCGTGTCCAGCCGTGTCATTGAAAAGTTTTTTAGTGTCAAGCGCTTGGATAGCTTCGTACTCTGTATACAGGGTCAGCGAAAAACATGAAGTTCGAAATTTTTAGGCTACCTGGAAGCGCTAGAGGATTGTAAATAAAGGTAGAACATTTTTGTATAAATATTTTTTGGATTTCGAAGAGAAATATGGAAAAGTATCGGACTTCCGGACGTCTAATTATTTTAAGTTTAGTCACTTCACTGCGGGGACGTCAGCGACACTGACGGTTTGCGCTACAATTCTTATTTGCTGCTTTGCATAGACAACAACCTCGACCACTCTTTCGAGCGCAAGTTCCTCTCCACGGGTAGGAAAATTCAGCTGACCCTTGGTCTTATTTAACAAGGATGGCAAACTTCAATTAAAAAACAATTGATGAATGAATGAAAACGTGGTGGATCAACATTTTCACCTTCTTCGAAATGCTCGCAAGGATTTTCGCGTTCTTCTTTAACATCAACCAATCCATAAGGGTTTACTACCTCGGAATCTACAAAATCAATGGATTCATCTGATTCCATACCGGATTAAAACGTATAGAACTGTTTTAAACAGAATTATTTTAATAAGCTCTTCAAATTCAGCGGAGAAAACGCAGAAGGTATTTTGAGACGTGACAAGGTAAAAATAACTGACCGATCAGAGGCGCTATTTAAACAAAAGCAGTGGTTCAAAACAAAAACAAACAACCCCGTTGCATCAAGGTTGGAAATGGGCCTTTAAACAGCTGCTACCAAAGAGCTAGTCCACTTAAGAATAATATTGAATACAAGTCGACTGCATGATGTTCACAAGACTGGATTGTTCACTAGCCAATTCAATACTTCATTGAATCATGAAAAGTTCAGCGCGTGTGTCCCCTTCCCTGGTTTTTGATTATGGGAGGCTGTGTGCTCTCCCACCCTCCTCCCCTCTCCCATTTCAAGGAAATGGGGGGGGGGGGAGGAATGGATGGAATTTGCCCACAAGAAACATTCAAATATTATACGATATCGCGAGTTAATAATAAAACATTTGCACGTTAAACTAATGTGTTCTACATTCATTTGCCTTTGATTGCAATGGAAATTGAAGTTCTCGCATCGAAATAAATATGAAATGTGATACCTCAGAACGGGAAAAGACATGAAAGATACAGTAGGAATGTTACCAATAATCCGAGGAAGACCATTTGGAAGACATGAAAAACATGAGTTATAACAAAAAGGGTTAAACAAAAACTCAATTTGGTAGACAAACATTGCGACATTAGCAATAATTTGGACTAAGTCTTATCCACCCAGCTAATATTGTTACCCCCATCACGTACATTTTACCCGGAAGATTTCCTAATATGTGTAGCTGGATGGGTGGCAATAGTATGTTTTTAAGAACGTATTTTTACCCGATTTTGTCGGGTATTTCCAAAAATTATCTTGAATGTCATAAATACCTTAAAGCTGAAAATACATTTTCTACAAAAACTGGGAATGTTACGAGCAGAGCTATAGGAGAAACTTTGAGGGAGATTCAAGGAAACTTATAGTTTTCCTGCCAACGTTCATATTTCCCATGAACGGCCTCTTATTGATTCCTCGAAATCTGAGTTCCTCGACCTGTTGTGAACATGTTTAAGTAGTTTACTTCTTCAACACAACTCCAACGTTTATTGTACTTTTTTTTATCTTACAGACACTAAACTTAACTTTCCAAATGTTAAGCTCAATCTACTTTTAACTCGCTGTGCCATTTCCTATAAGGAGACCGTCACTAAGGTTTGAAATTATATATGTCATCCATCATGTTAAAGCGATCTAGGGAATCATGTTACGATACATTTAATAACGGTAAGGCAAATCTTACACTCTCATAATACAGTTTCCTTAGCGAGCTATTTTCAAATTGACTTAAGTTCCACCGAGACTGATCTAGATCGGAGCGCGGAATGGTATGAAGTCCGATTCCTCATGGGGACTCGTGACAAAACGATAACATCTTTCCCTGATAGATTCCATCCAGCGCCCTCTGTTCTGTAGATCGTCGTAATGTGGTAAGATTAAAAAAAGAAGCTCACGAGACGCGGGCAATTGATACATCATACGAAACAACCGGGCAAAATGGGTGCATAATTTATCTTACCACGTCGTATACTTTGGAAAGAGTGTTAAACCTAGGCAAACATCCTTGAAATTACGTGGAAATCGTTTGAAGCCCAGAGGACTCACATAGAATTTATAGACCAATTAAGAGTTGTCAACAGATAATCATCATAATCATAATCGATAAGTAAACCGTTTAAAACTTAAAAAATGGCGCTGTTAGTGTAAGAGGATCGTGCTTTATCAGTCAAACTGAACTTTCACCCTTGAAATTATGCCGGAATATTGTGGAAGCCAGGAGATATGATTAACCAACTCAAAACAGAATTAGGTGCTCCAGGGCGGCGTAAGGGTGTGTTTTTCTGATGACATGCTGATTTAAATGCGGGAGAATCAATGGGTAATTAATGGTTTGACACCATCTCGCGTGACACCCGCCTTGAACAGTTTGTTTTCTCGTTGTCTTATGAAAAAACTTGCTTGTTTATATGAGCTTTAGTTTTGTACAGCCAATCAGATTATATGAACTTTTCTAACAAGGATTCTGGTTGACTTATTGTAGCGTGCTTTATGAGAGTATAGAGCAAGTAGACAACACGGTTGTTCGCTTTGGAAATAAAGTTCGTTTTGAAAACTGAAAGTAATGCTTGGGGAATTTAACGGATTCTTTATTATTAAAAAAAAATAGAGAAGCCTTGACTGTGCTTGGAATAATCTCCAATATGTCAAGGTCGGTATTAAGCCAGCGTAAGCCTATGCAGTTGTTGTTAAATTACTGAAACGAGTTTCTATTGACATTTAGTGAACATAAGCATTACAGTTCTCCTGGTTCTGTTCTGGTTCTGACTTAAAATAGAAGGCAACCGTGAGAAAACAAGAGTATAATTTGCCGAGACAAACCTAGAGTGCATAATATTCATACAGTCACACGGAGAAAAAAGTTTTGTCTATAATAAACTGAAATTATAAAATTCCGCTTCTAAACATAAATGAGATGTAATCATGTAGTTTGAAAGTCAAATTTGAAAATAACAATACTTTGTAATGAAACTAATTAATGATTTGTATCTAAACTGCTGTGTTGTTACGAAAAGTAGGCCAGAAACAGGCGTAAGTCCAAAAACAAAAAAGATCAAAACAGTTGCTTTAGGAATGTTATTTATCCAGACACACTTTAAGGAAAGAAAAAGTTTTGGGACTGCTGCCATTTTTAGCTATTTAGTTTTGTTTGACGTATCTTGTCATTCTAAAACTTGCATCAAATGCTATTTCGTGAGTTGCATTTTTCTTGTTTGTTCCCAGTTTCCTCGGGGTATTCCTCACTGAAGATGTACTTGAAATCTATATTCCATTTTTCTTTTTTTTATTTTGAGACCGTACCTTGTCTACCCTGCTGCAAGACATTCGGAAAACTGTTCAGTTGTGTTCGAGAGCCATGACGGTAAGTTAGGATGCGATGAAAGTTTCAATGAAGTTGAACTGTAAGACTTCAAAGTTCATCAGTAAATTTCAAATTTTGGGGTTCCACGATTCAGATTTCACTCTGTGGAGCATCAAAGTGATTGTAG